GGGTCTTTCTTAACCTGGCTGTTTTGTACTTAGTTCATTCGTACCTCACATGAGCCATTTCGTACTTCACTTCGTACCTCAAATTGATTCGTACCTTTTCCTATGTTGTTGAAATCAGTTACAAGAAATTGAAATAAAGGTGAAACAATTTGATCAAATTTATAAAAGTGGCTGTCGAGCCATAATTAGAATATGCACGAGATTTGTACCTCAAATTGTTTAGTTTGTTTTCCTAAATGTGTTTTAAAGAAATTGAAATAAAGATGAAACATATTAAACGATTTGATCAAATCCAACTGATTTCAACAACATAGGAAAATGTACGAATCAATTTGAGGTACGAAGTGAGGTACGAATGCACTAAGTATGGAACAGCCAGGTTACGAAACAGCATGCACCCGAAAATACATTTACTTTCAGTGACGAGGGCCGTTTTTACCTTTTCCTGATAATTTTAATTTTTCAAAAAGTAAAAGATAAGTCGTAAATACCTTCTAGATGTCCAAACCATCATTGACACAAACTCCAATTTCTCCCCTTTGCGATGTTTGTATTCATTCATAAGTCGTGGAACAAAAATAGCTAGTTTTACGGTCAAATTTTTTAATTCTGATAAAAATAGTATCAGTGCGCCCCTACCGAGCTTTTTCATTGCTAATGTTACATGTTAATTGGAATAAAACTTATATACTTTCTGAGTATGATTAAAGAGATAATAGGCCTACATAAATTGAAGCATTTTCCAGTACGTTAACCATGATTATTTTCATTTCTTACTAAAATGAACATGAACTTATAACATACTACCTGAGTAGGCCTATATAAATTATTTACTGAAATTGTTGGTGTCCATCAGTAGTACATACATTTTATGTGAAAGAACTGGTTAAATACATGTACATTCTGAATGTACTTCAAAGACATGTTTGCAAATGTTGTAATTCTGTAATAAGGAAGAGTTTTTATACAAAATTATGAGAGGATATCAGTTGAAACAAACTATTCATAAAAAAAAATTGACTGTCAAAAAGATCGGAGAAACTCTCTACTTACATATTATTTTTATATTTTTTTTGACAGTTACTTCTATCTCCACACTGGATGACAAATTGCAATTTTGCCTGTGCTCTTAAACCGCAAGATTTAGACAATCTCTATTTATAAAATACCAGTGTCCGGTACTGCATTTATTCCTTTCTCAACTGACTATTAATATTATTCAAAGTTCATGGATAGAAATCATTAAAAACAGATGCTTAATTTGTGATCCTTAGGACGGAGAAGGTAGAAACTTTTTAGATAAAGTAATAAAAGTACATGTATGACTATATTTTTAGAACTAATGAAATAAATTATCACTTAAAAATTGAAGTAGATAAATAATCAAAAAAAGTAATGCAAAGACTTTCTTTCTTTCTCATGACAGTCGATTCTTTTTTTTTGGAATAGTGCATTTTGATTCAACTGGATTATCAGTCAATAAGAATAAATCAGGTTTCTCCTTTTTGCATCTTTCCAATTCTTGAAGTCTCTGTATATATTGGGGATCACGTGGCTAAGTGGGTAAGACGCTAGCTCGCTAGCCTGGAGGTCGGGTGTTCGATCCCTGCATTGGCCGAGAAAGTTCATCCAGATTTTCCGGCGTGGTTCTCCCTTGTCAGTGATGCAGGACGGAGGGGCTGACAAGGAAAGCTGTCTAGTCGTTCGGATGGGACGAAAAACCGAGGTCCCGTGTACACATTGGTAGTTGGAATTCGATATAAGAGTAGGCCGTAGTGTCGCTGTCCAGGCAAAATTTCCCTCATAGCACACTGTATGGCGTATGCCCGTCTTCATTAGGCCAGGTTAGGAGCAGAACAGTAGGACGTTAAACTCCATTTCATTTCATTTCTCTGTATATATTCTCTATTTTCATTAGCCCTGTCCAAGTACAAGTAGCACAGTATGGCATTAAACCCCCAGTTGTGTGATAAGATTATGTTTGGAATGTGGTTAACCAGTTCTATCATTTATATTGATGTTCATCAACATGGTACTTTACCAGTATAGCAAAAACTTGCACATATTGAGAATCTGAATATTATCAAAACTTTAACTTTCTAACCAAATTCTACAAAATACAACTAATGTACATGTAAGGTTCAATTAATTCAATATCAATGAGTTGATTCAGCCGCAAAATTACACAATTTTTATACACAGATATTTTCATGTAGATGTGTAATGTTGTTACCTGTTCACACTATATTTATTGACACTGAACAGTAGCTTCCTGGATTAGGGCCCCTGATTGTACGAAAAAACATGTTTTAGCTAGTGGTCCCTCTACTCGACGTCACAATTTTTATCAGATTTTAAAAAACTTTTCAACTATATCACCGATACGCCCTAATAATGCTAGTCAGCTGCTTCTTTGTAAAAGTATGTTATATAATTTAAGTGAAGTATTGTGTCAGTTATCACACTTCTATCTCCATGTACATGTATGAATTGGCTGACCATGTACTTACAGTGTAATTCTTTTATTTATCAGATTATCACGATGGATTGAAGTTTCTGTGCAATATTTTTTACTACAAGTGATTTGAACTTTGAAGTGACATGGGTTATAATTGTTATATTTGTGACCGTGTGATTGGAAATGCAACTACTGTTTCAAAGTACATGGTTCATCTTTATTCTCGACATGGCCTGTGTAGTACAGGTATTCAAAAGTCTTCCTTACAGTGTCAACAAGGGAATTGTTGCAGAACTTTTGACACAGTGAATTCTTTGAGGATGCACTTGAAGAGATGTCACCCACCAGAAACTTTACAACAAATTGAAAGAAATTATGGATACCCAGATGGTGATCTTCAGATAAACGAAGATATGGACTTTTCCAGTGATGATGAACTAAATCATTCCACTGAAGATATTTCTAATGAATTTGCTCCACTGCCCGTGTCGTTCATAAAAGATCATATTATTGACTTTATTCTCCAACTTCGTGTAAAAAAAATAAACCAAACAGTTATTGACTACACACTGAAGAGTGTTGATAGCATACTTAAGGCTGTAGTACAAGTTATATCATCAAGCATTCCAGATGGTTTTAATGGACAACTGACGGACATACTTCAAATGCTGTCAGAAATCGAAGACCTTGTAGAAAATGCTGAAGAAATAAGATCAGACTATCTTCAAAAAAAGTACCTCATAGAAGAAAAAGGAATGGTTCAGCCAGTAGAGATAGCTATAGGAAACAGAACCGAGTCAACGTCAGATGGTGAATCTGTTATGAAATATGTAAATGATAGCATGCAATATGTACCGATCATAGAGACGATTACGAAGGTCATGTCAGACACCAACAATTTCATTAATTATGAAGATCAACATGACAAAGTAGAACAAGTGGCTTTTGATGAAGAGTTTGGGCGCCATACATTACGGGAGTATTCGGATGGGGAAATATATATAAAGGAACCATTTTTCAAACAGCATCCAGAAGCAATTCAATTACATATGTACTTTGATGAATTTGAATCGGTAAACCCACTAGGATCGAAAACAAGTGTGCATAAAGTCGGTGCGTTATATATGACAATCCACAACATCCCACAACAATATAATTCAAAATTAAACCATATATTCCCGGTTGCTTATTGTTTTGCTGAAGATGTAAAGAAGTATGGATTTACTAAGATACTCGAACCTCTTTTGTATGACCTCAAGTTATTGGAGTCTGGTTTAGATGTTAAAATAAATGGAGAAGTTAAGTTTATAGTGGGGGCTTTAACAATGTGGTCTGGTGACAATTTGGGAATTCACCAACTTTTTGGATTTAGCCAGAGTTTCAATTCCAACCTTCCGTGCCATTTTTGTTATGGTTCTAAAGATGATTTCCAACATAGATTTAGAGAGAGTGACTTCAGACTAAGATCAGAAGAACAACATGAAATTGATGTTCAGGATGTTGAAAATGATCCCAATACGAGTAAAATATCTGGAGTTTATTCACGTTGCTGCCTTAGTCAGCTAAAGTACTTTTCAATACCAAACAATATATGTCCAGATCCAATGCATGACATTTTAGAAGGGTGCTTGCAGTATGAAATAAAGCGTGTTTTAAAACATTTTGTAAATCTCAAACTTTTCAGTGTACAAGGACTAAATGCAAGACTACAGATGTTTGATTTCTTAGTTGATTGTAAAAATAAGCCAACACAGATTAAACCAGAGAAATTGGCATCGAAAGATAAAAAGCTGGGTTTGAATGCATCACAGTCCTGGTGTCTGGGAAGATACATTTTTTTACTAATTGGAGACCTTATACCAACAGATGATAAACATTTACTTCTACTTCAGCTTCTAATGGAAATAACCGATATTATTTTGGCTCCAGCTATAACTGTTGAAATTACCGTCTATTTAGAAGAAATTATATATCGCCATCACTGTCTTTTTAAGACGCTTTTCCCTGATGACACTATTATACCGAAACAACATTTTCTTGTACATTACCCTTCTAAGCTGCGTCAACTTGGTCCAGCTTCTCAGTACTGGTGTATGAGATACGAAGCTAAACATGCCCCATCAAAGGACTTGTGCCACATTATTAGATGCTTCAAAAATATATGCAAAAGTGTGGCGTGGAAAGAGCAAATACGTTTAGCTGTTGATTGGATTACACCCAAAGTAAAACTAACAGTTGATGTAGGAACAGGTCAAGTTATTTTACCAGTATCGCTCAAAATCCCAACAGGGTTACTCAATGAGCACAGCATTTCTCCCAATGAAGAAGTCTTTATGGCAAATTATTTAAATTACAATGGCGTGAAATACAAGCCAAATATGATAGTTGTATTGGGCATGAATAATGGCGAACCTCAATTAGGACAAGTGAAAAATATATTAATAGTGGAAAATGTAGCTCGACTTATCATTCAAATGCTACATACGTACCAATTTAATAACCACTATCACTCATATGAAGTTACTTTTAAAGATGAATACACCATTGCAGAACCATGCAAATTACATGATTGTCATCCACTTGGATTGCACTCATCATTTGAAGATAATTGTGAAAAAACTTATATTGTCATGAAGTATGCATTATTGGATAGTTGTTATTGACGTAAGTACATGTACATACATGTAGACTGTTTGTATCATGCATAAAATGTTGAGTGCATGTTCAGTTGCAATCCCTGATATCTGGATTGCATACATTTAGCTCTATGTAAATATCCTTGTAATGCTAAAACATGCAATATAATCTAAAACAGTAAAAATTGATGTACATGTAGGACTGTAGGATATTAATTATGAAACTGCGTAACTCTAATTTCCATTAAATATACATACATCTAGTGGCAAACTACCACCTTTACGTAATGTCATTAACAGACAACCGCAGCCTAGGCCAGTGATATTTTTCCGATTGCTTCTTATCTTAGTATTCATTTTTATCTCTGAGTATACATAAGGACTTATGCTCTAACTTTGTAATTAATACACTTGAATTCTTGTTTTGATGCCTATTTCTTTACTACTACACACATGTACATACATAGACCATTAAATTTCAGGTAAATTGCTACTCGTAAAGTCCCTAATGAAAAGCACTGACTGAAAATAAAATTCAATAAAACATTTCATGTTCAATGTATGGAAATAATTTATCAATTTTTGTAGCTGTATGACCTATGTATTTGTAGACAAAAATTGTTAATATTCTTCAATTAAATTATTTTCAGGATGAGAATATTGCTAGTTTTTTAAAGAGAAAATTGAATGTCCCTGAAGAAGATCCAGTCATCAAGCACATTTTAGATCTTGGTGCAGAAACTGTTGATGATCTCAAGTATTTAGATGTTGAGAAGGATATTACCATTCTACCACCAATAAAGAGAAGAAAGCTCATACACTTGCTCAAGTGTGAAGCAGAAAACTCAGACTTGGGTAAGTTTCAACAAGAACAGAAAAAGTCTGTATCTATATTTGATGGATTATCATTACCTGTTGAGATATACAGAATACATGTAGGCCAGACTACATATAAAGGAAAAGATAAATTAAATTAAACTGGACAAAATAATATTTCTGTTCTGGTACTGATTTGCAGAAATTTCTCTCTCTAAAGTTAAGTTATTTTTTTCAGTAAATGATGTACATATGGCTCTTCCGGTTATAAGCAAGCCATGCAGGTCCGAAGATGATGATGTTTTAAGACCGTTATCACGGAATTTACCCAGTACGCCACACAGAAAAACTGGTAACAATTTCATCTTTTTTTAATTGTTTGTAACAATGTTCTATTATTACTGTATGTAAAGATATAGTCCCACGAAGAGTATTTATAGGGTAGTTATCCAATAAAAGTATGTCCTATTTTGCATATATAAATAAATAAATAGACACTCCATATTACTACAGAACAAAAATATAAGCATATCACAAACTGACAGACTGTCAGCGTGTTGTCTGCTGAAGGGATGTACATGTAGCACCCACAGTGATCAATTGGTATTGTTGATTGCATGTGGCAACAGTAATATTTGCAGCTTACTCTTCGTAGAAACAAGCGAACAAAAAAATGATCCAATAATTTACTTACATGTAAGATAATAACCTTACTGTATTTGCTGATAGACAAATCAAATGACAAACAAGGATGCTTTAGATTTTTACTGCTTGGGGTAGTACCTTGGGATTTTAATCTTTATAGAGGATTTGAAACAAACTTCATTTCATATCACAAAGTTTGTATATATTGTTAAATACATATCATGTGTTTATTTTTTCAGTTTCAGTATTGGATGCCATAAAAAACCACCCAGAAAAAGAACATATTATAAAAGAAATGAATAAAGAAAAACTGGAAGATGAAAGAGCAGAAAAATTAATGATAAGAGCAGCTTGTAGCTTTCTGATAGACAATTTTGGAAGGTAAGTGTTCAATTCCACTGGAAAAGATTATCAGAGAGGTTTCGCAACTTTACATTTACACTTACACGGTTAAATGTAATCAGTTTTAGTGACATATGACGTGAGGCGCACATCATGAAAGTGTTTCCGATGGATAGCAGCCTATACCTTGTTTAATTTATATAATCCAGTCCATAACTTTTCTCTGAATCGTGGTTTTCAAGAACTAAATCCACAGAGAAGACCTTCATGTAGACAAAATAAGAAAAGGCCGAGACAATGTATCTGTGATGAAGGCTTATCGAGATCGTGGACCAAGTTTGTGTCGCCACCTACTACGTGTAACTGTAAGAGTGAATTTACCAAACGTCATAATGTACAGTTTCCATTTACACTTATCTAAATGTTAGTGTAACTGTTTAGTTGCAAAACCTCTCTATTGTTAAGGTATTTTGGAGTCTAAAATTCTGATTACTATAGTAATACTGTACCTGAATGGGCACTGACGGAATCTTACTTTTGTCTAGGTGTGGCTAGATATGACTGCTCATCTGTGACAAAGCAAACCAATACATCAAACATTTAAAGTAAATTTATTAAATTAACATTATTTTAACCCAATCAAAACTGTCTAGTCAATTTTAGCCAATTAATACATATAATATTTTATTCAGTTACCCACCTCCTAAGAGACAGTTGGAAATGGCAATAGACATTGTCGAAACTTTCCCTCACAGAGCTTGTCAATCAGGCAAAGGCTATGTAAGTACTATCTGTATATTTCTTTTTGAATAAGGAACTGGTTCTATACACTTAGTAATCTTGTTCTTCTTCCTCTTCATGGGGCAATGCCCAGGTCTGCCAATTCAAGTATGATTTTCATGAAACTTAGCATGCTGGTTTTTTAGACAATCACATTTGATTTTATTTTAGTATTTATATATTACGACATCGCATTTGCATAGATGCAATGACGTTTCCTGTTCATGTAGTTGGTGATTACCTGTTCATATAGATCGCTTTACTTGTTCAAATATTAAAGGCCCCAAAAGTGGCAAGTATAAATAACATCATATTACAAAACAGTTTTCTATACCGTATTCACAATTGCAAATAATTAGATTTTCAATTAGTGTTGTCCTTTTTTCAGGAATTATATTATTGTCCTGGGGCAGGGAAAGGCTTCATTACTAACCGGATGAGAGAAATTTACAGACGATATGATAAAAGCCAGAAAAAATACAAAGCCAGAACACTTGGTATGTGTTTTTACCTGTATTAACTAAAATATACTACTGGCTTGATTAAGTTATGACTACATCAATTTTACCCTACATTTGGCTGATATAATGGTATTGTTAATGTGCCGACTATAATAAGTATTCATAAATTAACATTTACATTGATCAATTCCATACACTGAGAACAAGTGTCATAAAAAAAAAGTTATTTTCTAGTTATTACAGAAGATCAAGAAGATGACATTAATGATGATGAGGTACAACGTTTAAAAGTTAAAGCAAGTCATACCGTTTCAACGGAAAGAAATTTCAAGGAAATCGCTGATGCCATGGCAGCGACGTTTAATAACCGACAGAAATGGATTAAGAAAGGCTCTCCGTCTCTGAGAGAGATTCTTTCCGATTATCCCAGATATGTTGATACACCAGATTTGGTAAGTATTTGGATAGTCAAGAAAGTTCAATACAAGTCACTAGGCATATGAAATTAAAATGAAACAAAGGATTTATGAGATAAATAAGATTAATGTCATTGCTTGTAAGAAAACAAGCCAACAAGTCTCGACCAATCAAATTGCTTATCGCTCTGCTTACCCTGAGCAAAAAACGTTCATTATCGAACTTAGTCAAGGTATTGGTGTAATAAAGCTATACACCAAGTTTCTTCACTCTCACTTAATTAGAACTAAAAGTTATCGTGTCCCAAATCATCAACCAATCAAATTGCTTATCTCTACTTACCCTAAGCAGAAAATGCTCATCTTTGAACTCCATCAAGGCATTGACCTAATAAACACTCTAGCTCAATTAGATAGTTATTTTGTGACGGACCGACAGACAGGCGGACGAACCCATTTTAATAGTCCCCTGCTTTCTTCAAATGGACGGGGAACAACAAAATACATTTATGTGTGTATTTTTACAGTAAATTAGGAGTATGATGGAAATATTTTTACCTTTCAAATTTTTTTCAGATTTCAATAGATTTTAAAAGATTGTATCCTGATTGCTGTCAGACTTCTGTAGAAATTGAAAATGAATGGGCCAAAAAAATAATAACATATTGCCAAACAAATGGACGCTGCCCTGATGTAGTAGGCAATCTTGATTTGGAGACACAATATGATCCAAGTGAGTAGATGACCTATTTTCATGCATTTTTCTTATGATTAAGAGTAGCTATTTGTTGTGAGCTCCCGGTGTTGGCAGACAAAGTTCATAGTGACTTTTTGGCATGATTTTTGCTTGTCAGTGGTGCATGACGGAGGGCCTGACAACGACAGCAGTCTAGTTCTTTGGCTGGGATGAAAAACCAAGGTCCTGTGAATTTTGACAATGGCGACCAGATATTTATAAATGCTAGGTTTCTGGCGAGTGAACATATATCTTGAAGTCCCCAATTAACACTATAGCTATCTGAACTTTACTCCGTTAAAGATAACGTAATCGGCAATGATCCCAGTCAAATGTCACTCTTGTTACTTTCCTGGTTTGAAATTGGGTCAATCTCATTGTCCTCTGCGAGGAAATTCTCATTGCGAATGCGCTGTATTTATCAGAAGTTTGCGAGACAGCTGACAGCATGGCTAGCAGACGAATCAAACCTATATCGTCTTACTTTACTAGTAAAGTAACTTCGTCTCGCAGTGAGTCTCAGTTGGGGAAAAATGATGATAGTCATGCTACTGACGCTACACCACCCAAACAAGCAAAATTACAAGCTTCGCCGACCGCCCTCTTAGTCTCGCAGTGAGTCCCAGTCGGAAAAAAATGTTTAAAACATCTTTTTTTATTATTATTATAGGACGACGAGTTATGTATGTTCACAATATAATTTAGCTATATCATACGACAAATTATTCTAATCTTCAGACTTGGCAACTGAAAATTTTGTTTGGCTAGTGGTTTTGAAAATTTACTTATGTTTGCACAATGCTGTGTAGAGCCTTGGGTGTGCACATAAAATATCCTTTGGCATTTGGAATTCGATTTAAGGGTATGCCTTAGTGCCGCTGTCTGGGCAACATTTCCCTCATAGCACACTGTATGGTGTATGTCTGTCTTCATTAGCCCAGTCAGAACAGAACAGTATATTTGATGATCATTTGCCTTCAAATAGGGACATAATATTTTGACTATCACTTCTTAATGCTGACATGAGAATTGTGAAATTTATGCACTCATAAAACTAGGAAATGAATCATTAATACTTTATCTCAACTTTCAGACCAAGCAACACTGAAAATGATACGATGTATAGTAACTCTGTTACCAACTATGGGACGATACAGAGTGTCAACATCAGATGCAATGAAATGCATTATTGAAGAAGTGCCGGTAAGAATTGCTTAATATCCATATTAAGATCATTGATTCACGAATATGAAAAGCCTGTATTCTAATCGAAATGACAAAAACATAAGCTATGGCTGACTTATATGCAAATGGTAGTTGGTCTGTTTAATAGTGTTTGAACCACTAGTTGGTAAGATGGTGTTTGCTGTTGCAATATGGTGTACAAATAGGTGTGTGTGTGGGCGGGGGGGGGGGGGGGGACATGGTAGGACGCTGGCTAGCTGTATGGCTTCATTAGCCCAGTCGGAGCTGAACAGTACTTCCCTATAGCTAATTTCATTTTTGTACAAATCGGTGGTAAATGTTAAAGATTCCTACGCAACCATAATAAAAATTTCTTTTTTAGTCCCAAATTTCAAGACTTTTGTTCTGGTTCTGACCTTATTGAGCAAAAATGTTATGCAGAATTGAAACCACATAAACACTCAATATATGGCAAAATGTTTGTTTATTTAAACATTGTGCATTATAGAAAGTTTATTTTTTTTATTTTTCAGATAGGAACATCATTAGAAGAATATTTAAGTTCAGATAACAATCAGCGAACCCAGCCATATATACTTAATATTAAACCTTCAAACTTTTTTATAATTATGGAAAAAAATGCTGTCATTGTGAATTCTAAATTTTTATCTGTGGCTTTTGACCTTTTATTTAAATCTTTTTTTGTTTTTAATGTTAAGTACCCTCCACAAACACAAGTAGCTTTTAATTCTATACAGAATTTTATGTACACCATTGACTGCACTGTTACCTCGAAAGCACTCAGAATTTGGTCCGAAATTGTAAAATATTAAACACGCATTTACCGGTAGATCAAATTTAAACCTTGAGCTTCATTTCGAATATTGAAAAAAAAGAAAATAGTTTTAAAAGCACAATTAATAATATAATATGAATATATGACTTAAATTTTTGAAAAACTTATTGTACTTTCTAATTATGTTCATGAAATATATGAACTGTTTAAATTGAACGGCACTTGTTTATGCAAGCTTAATCCATTCTTCATGCTTTTTTTATTATTATTTTGTTGTTTGTGAATCCGCCTTTACTAATTATTACGACATTGTCATGTATAATCTGTTTTACTTGTTCATTACAAAATATCACCATTATGAAATATAAATTGTGTCTTAAATATTGGATATTAGATTCCTATATTTTCACCTCAACATAACAACATCGATATTGATTCAAATTGACCAATATTGAATTCTAATTCATTTTTTTAATTTTGTACATTATGGAAAATATTGAGCGACTTTACCTTGCTTTTGAAATGAAATTGGTATCTACGTAATACTTTTATACTCCAACTGGGGTATTGAAGATGGGCATTAACATGCAGTTTGCTATGAGAGTAGTTTTGCCCAAACAGCAATGCTGTTGTCTACTCTTGTATCAATTGTTAAAGATTCTTTTACTTTTAAGTGCATGTCAGTGTGTATACAGGACCTTGGTTTTCCGTTCTATGTAAATGATTACTTGTGCCTTACCAGGTCCTCTGTCCCACAGGTTGTGTGACCTGTATGTAAATATTAGCAATTTTCTACCTTATTTATGTTTCATTTATTTTTTTAATAACCTTTAATCCTTGTACTTATTTGTTATTCTATGGGTGCTCTTTTCATGTATAAGTTTCATTTTGTATTTGTTTTTGAATTTGGAGAGGGTCCTATATCAATATATAACTTCTTAAAACTCTGTAAATATTTTGTAAATTCTATTATATTCCATGTTTGTTTTTTATTTTTCAAACATATTTCAATTGAATTCATAATTAGTTATCTTATTAGTGCTTTATTTGTGCATTTCAGTCTTGTCAGTGCTTATTATATATGTTTTATTTTTATTTTAATTTTATGATTGGCGGGGGGGGGGGGGGGGGGAGCCGGTTGTCATTGTACAATAAAATTATATAAGTATTTTACTTTTTTGATTAAACTTCGTATATTTAGTGCAGTTAAGTATATTTAGTATTGAATTGGCATTGTATTGGTTTCTCTATATTTTTTTGAATAAATCATAATTTAACCCAAAAAAAATATATTATGTTTTTTATCAAACATTACAGCTGAACAGAACAAAAGGAGGGTTGCTATTACATGGGGAAATTTGTTGGTTCGTAACACAAGTTTATATGAAACACAAGTTTCAGAAATTTTAACACAAGTAATGTGTAGATTTTCACACAAGTTTCAACACAAGTTTCAAAAATTTCAACACAAGTTTCAAAAATTTCAACACAAGTTTCAAAAATTTCAACACAAGTTTCAAAAATTTCAACACAAGTTTCAGAAATTTCAACACAAGTAATGTGTAGATTTTCACACAAGTTTCAACACAAGCTTGTGTTATTTGATCCAATTTAACACAAGTTTTGTGTTGTTTCAACATTTAACACAAGTTTGTGTTGTTTCAACACAAGTTTGTGTTGTTAAATAGAGACACCTAACTTGTGTTGAAAACAACACAAGTTTGTGTTGTTTCAACACAAGTTTTTTTTCAGTGTAGAATAATAGAAGTGTGTGTGTTAAACATTAATGGCTCTCAATGAAATTAGATAAAAAAAAACTGACCACGATCTATACGTTCTGTTTAACACATGCCACAATTATATGGAATGCAATTTACTTAGACGTTTATTCATCAGCAATATGGAGATGTGGCAGTTAATCACGGCCAGAAATAAACTTTTAAACAACTTGTATTCCATAGAAATGGCATGCGTTATTCTCATTGTATTACTAAATGCCGCTTAACTATTTATAATATGGTTGATTATGGAATTGCATTCATGTATCTAATGATGGATTCTGCTATTCTGTTCTATTTTACTCGTAAGTTTACTGAAATGCCACCCTTTCTGTGCGCCCGCTGGGTGTGTTCTATGTTTATGGGCCTATCGAGACGGGCATACGTTATGCAGAGTACTCGCATTCCAACAGAAATCAAGTAATTTTACGTGAAAGCTAATGTGTGTACCAGCTTTCTCGATTTTCGTCCTTACCAAACCCTCCGTCTTACACCAATGATAAGGAGACATTCTGAGGTACAGTCTTGGCCATCGACACGGTCGAACCCGGGGTCTCCTGGAGACACCTAGTGAGTGAGCCACAGCCATAGTCTTTAAGTCATTGTGGTTCCAGAGGAGGATGGGTCGGGATTAGGGTGGATAAAATGGAGTGGATGGACATTCCACATTAACTTTGGGACTAACAAAATATTTCTTTGCATATAGTCGTCCGTTCGCACTAGGGATCGAACCCATAACTTTGCATAGATAAGAGGCTTTGCGAGTTGTAACATCACTCGGCCATCCTAATCCTCTTAAATATTTTGACAAAGATTTGACAGGTGGCAACTTAAACACGCCAGAATAGAAAGACAAACGGATACGCCTCTATTACTTTACAAGAAAACTTCAACCATTGCAGATTGTTACATTTCATTATCGTCTATTATTAGGCCATAACCATGCACAAATATGATGACTGCTGACCACAGGTTGCTACCATCGTTTTACAATTAATTTCTTGTTGCGTTTTAATCGGTATTATTTATTCTGGTAGAAATTAACGTCACGTGCAACTTTCGTAGACGAATTGTACCATTAATGCCAGGCGTTTGAGATTCTTTAAAGAGACCAATACACGTTCAAAACAAGCACCTCAAAATTGATGGAGAAATTTGAAAGATAATTTTGATGTGCAATTGCCCATACACGATTCAATGATTTTCCACCAAATATCAGTCTCGTCAAAATCTTTGATTTAAACTCATACTACCTTACAATATAATAGTTCGACATTTTGATAGGATATAGTGCATTCTGTACACATACAACTATTTACTTTGAGAATAGATCTCTGTGCTAAATGGCCGCCATATTCAAAACTTAGTATACTATTTTGTAATGTTTTTCTCCTCCTTTTCATATCTGCCATATACACAAAGACTAAGTAAACCCCTTCAATGATATAAAATTGAAGCGGAATAAATATTTCTCAAAATTAATGACAGTGTAAGCTTGGTATGGGTATAGTGTTTTGCTTAAAGGTACATAAATTGCGTGCAAAATTAGAAATTCGTGATTTTTGGCAGTAGAGGGTATTCCATAAGTTAGAAATTCATTCGTGCTTTTTGACGATTGTGGGCATTCCATAATTTAATTGTGCAGTTAAGTTTTTCACAAAGTCAATGAGTTGTAAAATACTGCCTTTGAATATCGATTTTTCCTCAGCAAAAAGAAAAACTTTGAATACGGACTCAGACTTAATGAAGGTATAATGGATTGTTATCATTTTGTTTTAGAGACATAAGTGTTGTGTGGGTATAATATATTCACGATTTGCATAGCTATCTTTTTTTATTTGGAAGATTTTTTTTCTGCTAAGAAATGAGAGTTTGTTGAGACAAATCTTGATTTAAACTTAACCTGTCAAACTAATTGCTCTAACAGCAGATATATTCCTTAATATATGCTTTCACACTAGGCTATAAATTCCTTAATATATATACATTTTCACACTTGGCTATAAATTCCTTAATACTTTTTCACACTAAGCTATACATTCCTTAATATATACATGTTAAACCACTGTGCTATAAATTCCTTAATATATATTACACTACATATACATCCATGTAAATAAATAAAATAAAAAACGTATCTGATTTCTGCCAAAGCTCAACCTTAACCATTATCATCTTTAATAGGACTCTTTAAAATCATTTAATTAAAACGCTTGTAGACATTATTCCATCGGGCATGTTTTATCTACTTCACTAACTCAGACATATCTTACCAAAAAACCATGATCAATTATATTCGCACGGGTGAGGACGTAGAAGTAAACTAATCGAGGGGAAATTTTCTAGGTATATTTCCGTCTTCTTTGCCGTATTCTCTGCTGGCTTGTACACGCAAACGTAGTTAAATTGGTTATGTAAAGGAAGTCTCCAGGGTCGAATAGTGTTGAGATGTATTTTCATTCTAAGTTGTGGGATGTTGGTTTCGTTACGAATGGAAATGGTATAATAATGAACAAAGATTGTAAATGACAGTCTAAGACAGTAAAGCAGCAATAACAGAGCGGAACCTTTACGATTACAATCCAACATCTGTCGCATTTCCGGACGTTGACCTTTTTTAGCCTGCCTTTCTTTAAAAGCGGTAATCTGTATACATCTGTATACATCAATTAATAATGTATACAACATCTGTTGACTGAAAATTTAAATTTATGCCAAACTCTTCCGCTACACTTATATCAAATGTTTCAATAACAATTTAATCTTGTTTATCTAACCGGAATTATTTTCAGACATTTTAATAGACAAATTCAGGTTAAATACTTTTTCCATCAGAAGACTTAAAAGGGAAAATCACATTCCCCGGTTCTGATACTGTCGAGGAAAATTAGTATTAATAGTACTTCCTGATATCCAGCATGACAAGTAATTGAAAGTGGCTTCCTTTAATCTCAACATCGTGACCATTAGAGGAGAATCACGCGATTGTTGGTTTTCACGTACAACCCCATTGTTTATAAATCTTCTAGTATTATCACCAGATAAAAAATCCTTTTGATACTTTTACAAATAGTTTGGCCGAATAGTTTAACTTCTAATCATTACGGATTTGCTATGTTGACCCTAAATCTTCCTGTATTATATTGCTTGTATTTAAAGTTGGATTATGTAACATTTAGATAAAGACTTGGCCGTTCAAAAATAGTGAAAATTGCAGTCAAATTACTTTATTCTGGGTGAAGTTAGTCGTGTTTGAAGATTTTACAAGACTAGCTTAGCCTTGATGGACAATGCTATTATGATAAACCAATAAAATCTCGTTTTTCATTTTAACGTTAAACGATTAAATGGCGGGGATGTT